ATATTTTTATTCTTGAAATCATTTATGCAAAAAAATTAGAAAGTTTAATGGTTTTAATATTATATTTTAAATTATGATAAGTTATAAATTTGTATATATGTTGTATTATTTTTTTATGTTTGTTTATCGTTCATTTTTTGGGGTTAGATTTTATATTTCATACGTCAAAATATGTGTTGGCGCATATTAAAATTAAAATTAAGGACTTTGATGAAGTTTAGAAACTTGAAGAGAAAACGGGACATATGACATTCCTACTTCCATTAAAAATTTGTTGTCGGGAGGGGAACGAGCGGCTTGATTAGAAAGAGATTATAGATTAGGAATCTAAATGTTGAGGATTTTGGTAGATTTAAGTATGTATAGAAACTTATAGAGTAAACATCACGAATAGCATTCCTACTTCCCTTAAGAAGACATGTATCGAAGTTCAGTGAAACTGAAACACCTGTAAGGTAGTTTAGTTGGATCGGAACATTAAGTATAACAACGATGTATCATGTATGTGAAAGTATGTGAATTGTTTAGCTAGCTTAGTAAATAAATAGGTTGGAATAATGGTATGTCTTAAGTATGTGAATAGTTTATAAATGGCACAAACCGAGTGACTTCGATGGTAAATGAATTATTGTCATTCTTTGAGATGTTGAGTTTAAGCACTAGAAATATCAGATGTGTGAGCGTTTGATGTAAATTGTTTGGGAGTTATCTTTGAAAAGATATTGTCTTATACTTACTCTATATTAATAAAAAAGAAAAAGACATAATAATTTATAACAACAACAACAACAAAACCCTATTCCCATATGCAATGGGGTTAGGGGTGAGGTAGTAGGCTACCTCCAACGTCAGGTTGAGAGCAGCTTCCGTGGGATACCTCCGACAGTAAGAAAAGTAAAAATAAAGATAAAATACAATGCATATATAGATGAATCAATAAATACATAATTGAGGGCAATTTTCCTTCCAATTAATTCCTGCGTAAAAATCTTTGCTTATAAATAGAAATATAAATCCCGATTAAATTTAAATAGACGTAATAATTTATAAATGTACCTTAACTCAATGAAACAAGTTGGAGTGATTCCCATGATAGAATTGTTTTTCTTTTAACAATTCCTTGCACCAGCTGTAAGCAATGAAAAAAGAGAGTATAATGTTTGTTTAACGAAGAGGATTGTTAACAATTCCTTGCACCAAGTTTAAGAAAAGAATAAAAAAAAGGAAAAGTATAAATTTGTTCATAAAAGAAGATACTAGTGATAAATGAATTTACATCGCACGTCACGAACTACTAAAGTCACGTATTGAAATATATCATTAATAAAATTATTTTTATTATGTAAATATTAAAGAGTATAACGGTTTATTTAAAATTAATAATTTTTTATTAAAAATGTTAATTAATTTAAGAAGTTTATTTCGTCCACCGACGACAGATTGACTGCTACCAGAGGCGGTAGGGAACAACCCAAAACAAATCTAAACCAACATATTCTCTTCGATTGACTGTAATAGTACCCAGATCCGAGGCTGAAGACCAATGAAACGAGCCCTAAACGTCACAAATGACTCTCGACCCTTCGTTTGCTCGGACTCCGACAACCCCTAATGGGACACCGTTCGCCCCTTCGGGATGATATCCCAAACAACAATGGAAGGTCGTTGAGACCCCATCTTCGTAGTTCCCACGCCAGGTAAAAGCACAGACTTTCTCCCTATTTTTGCTTTAAACTAAAGAAGAAAGGCACTGGAAATTTGTAAATGGTGAAAGTTCCTTTGAAAAGCTTTGGTGTATTGCTTGTGGGTTTTCTTAAAGATCGAAAAAAAAATTCATTGTTTTTAGGGTTTATATAATCCATTTACAAAGTTTTAATGGGAAGAAATCAAATAAAAAAATTACAACTCAGATTTGTCTTCTTGCTTGCATGTCTCCAACGGGGCGAGGAGGGACCATCTTGCCACAAGCAGCTGCTGGCGTGATACGGTGTTGGATCCAAATCTGGGTTTACTCAAGGCCAACGAACAGGAAGCTTCAAGCTGAGACTCCCGATGAATGAGCAGCGGTGGTGGAAGGCGGTTCGGCTAGGATGGATGACGGTCGTGGATGGTTCTCCGACCGTCTACACGCATTTAAAACAAGAGAAAATGATCGGGCATCCGGTGTTGTAAACGAAAACAGTATCGTTCGCGATCGTCGGTTGGGTGGAGGAAGGCTGGTTTTCTCTTGGTACAACTCTCCAACAACATTGAATATTGTATAAAATGGTTTCCCGACGAAACGCGGTGGCGGCTGACGGTGGTTGTTGATTAATTTGAGATGAAACCTTAACATTTTTAATAAAAAAAATAACAATTTAATTTGAGTTCTATTAAAATTAAATTTAAAATTTAACAAATGATTAATTTTAAATAAATCGTTATATTTTTTAGTTTTAAATAAATATAATTTTATTAGTAGTATGTTTTAATGTATTGTTTTAATAGTGTATTGCGATATGCGTACGGTGTAGAATTTTCCTTACATTATCAAAATAGTAACTCTCGACTTATCTTACACTATGTTTTGGATAAAAAAATAAACTACGGCTATTGAACTAAAATTTTTATCAGTTAGGTCGTTAAATTTTTAATTTATTTTCATTGATATCGTTGACCTTTAATTGTTAATGAAATTATTGATGTGATAGTTAAGTAAATTTTTATAATAACATATTTGGTTTTCATTATTTATATATTTTATCAATTTGGTCATAATAAGATAATAACACATTTTGTTCTATTTACTTACTCATTAAACACATTAATAGAATGTATAAGCATTGAGGATCAAATGTGTTATTATAAAAATTTAATTAAAAGTCATATTAATAATTATGTTAATAGTTAATGACCAATGTATTGATTAAAATCAAATCAAAAGTTTAGTGATTTAATTCATAAAACCTTTAGTTTAGTGCTCAATATATAATTTAGTCAATAGTTTAGTGACCTTAGGTTAGTTTATCCAAGAAAATTATGAAAGAATGGAAGTAAAGGAAACGAAGGTTAAGGAAATAAAATGGCACTCGTTAAAACCCCCTCTAACCTAAGTAGGGAAAAGAGTGCCCACTATGCATTAACTATTTTTTTTAATTAATCACTAGTATATGATATTGATCGATTAATTCAGATCGAGTACTACAGAGGTGAAGATTCGAACTCCTGATTTTATTTAAAGGGCTTAGTACCTCATCCTACTAAACCAACTGATTGTTAGTATCATGCATTAACTATTAATAGTATCCTTCACAATAAAACTATTTAATCACATAAGATAATCATAATCAAACGAAATATCTTAAGAAGACGTTGAAGCAAAATGAGCCAGAGTGTGAGCAATCTCGTTTGCAGAACGACTTATAGAATGAATCTCAAAGTGAGCATTGGATTGAAGGATATGATGCATTTCACCAAGAATAAACCGCAGCACCAAGAATCAGAAGAAAAATGGTGAACCTGATGAACAAGTGATTCTGCATCACTCTCAACCAAAACTCTGCTATACCCAAGGTATCAAATAGCATTCCGAAAACGTGATAGCGGCCGTGATATTACGGTCACGCCACCGTCCGAAATCGATTTTTATGGGTTTTGTGATGGGTCACAGATTCACACTAATCTCGGCCGATTGTGCCTGCAATTTAACGAGAAACAGACGATTACGCCGATAATGGGACGCAACAACCGTTATTAAACCGTGGCATAATTTTTTTGTTTTGTTTCAGACAATGATAGGGAAGAAGGAAGGGGGAGGAAGAACCAGAAATATCGGGGAAGGGGATATTTATTTATTTTTAATAATTTTTAAAATATAATTTTAAAGGATATATTAATTTGAGATCCCTCTCACTTTTAGAATTTATAATTTAACCCCTAATTTAAAATGTAAACTTTAATTTTTATTTAATTTAGTCTTAATTCTAGTCATCTAAATTTATGCAATTTAAATTTTACAATTTTATTTTAATTATATTTAATTTAGTCATTTTAGGGTAAGTTGTGCGACATTTAAAAAAATTCACGACCATGATGTAGACACCCGTTTTTGTCCGGGTCTACAAAAATATTTTATTATATTATATATATAGTATTATTATTATTAATATATTTTTATTTTATTATTTTGCAGGCCCCGCACTCAACAATCTCGATTTAGTGAGATTAAGAAAATAAACCAATGTATTTGAGTCCAATTGAAACACTAAAATCAATGTATTTGAATCCTATTGAAACACTAAAACCGAAGTATTTTGAGTCCAAGTCTCTAAATCTGAGCTAAAAATAAGTTTTTTTAGACTATAAATAGACTCATGCATCAAGAGGCAATAACAAAAAGACAAACGAGGAATCAAAATCAGAGGAATGGACAATGATTTGAAAAAACCGAGAGAAGAAAATGACAAAAAATAAGCGTGGAGCATCCAAAGCCAATATTTAAAAGCACGAGGAGTGAAAGAGCATTTTAATTGCAAACCCAGTTTCTCTACACGCAAAACATGGAAGATATAACAACTTTTGACTTATTCTTTTTATTTCATTTTTTATTTAATTTATATATATTTATCATTTTCTCCTAATTTTAATATTTTTTATTTCTTTTTACATTGTTATATATATATATATATTAATATTATTATATTAATATTTTTTGTTATTTTTTTCTCATATTTATTTTCATTTTTACAATCTAACACTTTTGACTTTTTAGGGATACTTTCAATCGATCAAAGGTAATTAATTTGGATTAAATTTTTGAATTTCAATTTAAATTTCAATTTTCGCAAATAAAGACAACCGAAAATTAATTGGTACCGAAAGGGCGGTTCAAGGGTGCTAATCCTTCCTTGACCGTAACCGACTCCCAAACCCGACACGTTTTTGATACAACGCAGATCAGGTAAGATGGTGTTCGACCCACCTAAATTTGTTTTAAAGTGGTCGGTGGCGACTCTAACCATTTAATCCAAGTCGAAGTCTAATTCGGGGTCCAACCGAAAGGCGGTTCCGACACGCGATACCCGCATGACATCCGTTATGTCCGCAACCGTGATAAACACGACGTGACCGAAAACGTGACTGCGAACGCTATTTAAACCTCTGGCTATACCTGACGTCACCGCTAAACGGAGACCAACGCAAAGAGCGTGGGCTTTAACAAGCATGGAATCTCGGGGACAATCTAAACGGCTTCCCCTCCCAGCGAGCACCATACCCTCCGAGTCTCGGATAACCACTCCCACTGCTAGATAACCTGATTGAAAAGGGCAAGCATCGTCAACATTGACTTTCACATATCCAGCAGGTGGTTTACGCCAACTTGAAGAATAATCCTGATATCTTGCAACATTGGAGTTCTCTAGAATGGATGCAACAGCACGTTCAAAAGCAGTTTGCATGGATTGGGACGATGATACAACATACCAACCAGGAAAAAGACGTCCTTCATGCACGAGCACATTCCTTATATGCCAAATTTGAGAAAGAAGGATAATGAAATATGTGAAATTGTTGGCATCAGTTAAGAAGAGAATAGACTCCAACCATGATCCACGTGAATCAAACTCCCCAGCCCTAAGAAATGAAGGTAAACCAGCAACCTGAAACAATGGCCGAACCTCCGAGAACTCACGGAGAGCGTGCAACACCGTCTCTTCCCGTTGACCACAAAGACTACATAAACCATCAGCAATACCAGCAAGAAACATTCTACGTCCGACCGGCAGAGCCTCATGAGCATGTTAGGAAAATAAACCGAGTACAAGTAATTTCCCTATAACCAGATTAGTGAGAATGCAAAATAAAAGCGGAAAAATAATACCCAAAAATTGATAACGGAGTTCAGCCAATTATGCTTACGTCTCCGGGCTGCTGCAGATCTTTTACTAAGAGAGAAAATTTACAGGTGTTTACAAAACACTCACTACTCACAAGAAAGCTCTCTAGTATAGGAAGAAAGAAATGTTTTGGGATGATTTTGAAGCTAAATGGGTAAGGGTATTTATAGTAGAAACTTAGGGACTAATCTTTGAAAATACCCTAAAGTGCAATGACTAAAGTGAATTTACCCATTCCTATTTTCAACAAACATCTACCAAAATTTTACCAAACTTTGAAAAACATTTTTCAAAGAAACATTTACCAAACTTTGAAAAAAACATTTTCCAAAGTTGGTTGCCAAACTTTGAAACTTTTAACAATCTCCCACTTGAAGACTGATTTTAATATGTCTTCACACCTCGATCAATGCAGCAGCATGTCTGGTCTTGTTATTCTAGCATGCCAACTGAAGTTGAACACAACTTCAGTTTATCCGTAGTCACCGTCTTTGTCAACATGTCTGCCGGATTTTGAGCTCCACTAATCTTTTCAAGTTTCAAAATCCCATCTTCCAGAAGAGACCGGATAAAATGATATCTCAATTGTATGTGCTTTGTCCTGGAATGAAAAGACGGATTCTTTGCTAGATGGATAGCACTTTGACTGTCGCAATACAAGATATTGTTTTCTTGTTTCTTGCCTAACTCTTCCAAGAAACTTTGGAGCCAAACCATCTCATTGATGGCTTCCGTAACAGCGACATATTCTGCTTCAGTTGTGGAGAGAGCAACTATCTTCTGTAGTTGAGAAACCCAACTCACTGCAGTTCCTCCTAGAGTATAGACATACCCTGTAGTGCTCCTTCTGATGTCGACATTTCCGGCTAAGTCAGCATCTACATAGCCTGTCAGTATCATATCTCCACCTTTGAAACAAAGTGCTTTGTTTGTGGTACCCCGAAGATATCTGAGGATCCATTTGACTGCTTCCCAGTGTACCTTATTATTCATGTACCTGCTAACAGCTCCCACTGCATGAGCAATATCTGGTCTGGTACAAACCATGGCATACATCAGACTTCCAATTGCTGAGGCATACGGCACCTTCACCATGTGTGCACGTTCTTCCTCCGTCTTTGGTGATTGGTCTTTGGAGAGTCTGAAATGAACACCTAAAGGTGTACTTACTGGTTTAGCATCTTGCATGTTGAACCTGGAGAGTACTTTGTTGATGTACTCAGCCTGTGATAACATCAAAGTCCCCGACTTTGTGTCTCTCTTGATCCTCATCCCAAGAATCTGCTTTGCAGCGCCCAGATCCTTCATAGCAAACTGCTTCGAAAATTTTTGCTTCAAGTGTATAATCTCTTGCATGTCTGAGCCTGCAACGAGCATGTCATCAACGTACAATAATAAATAATGAAGTGTTGTCGAACCTCTTGATGTAGCAACAATGATCTGCTTGGCATCTGATAAAACCACAGCTACTCATGAAACTATCGAACTTCTTGTACCACTGTCTATGAGCTTGTTTTAAACCATACAAGCTCTTCTTCAACCTGCATACCAGGTTTTTCTTGTCTGCCTCTATGAAGCCTTCTGGCTGCCTCATATAGATTTCTTCCTCCAAATCACCATGAAGGAAAGCTGTCTTTACATCTAACTGCTCAAGATGTAAATTCTCTGCAGCTACAATTTTCAACACCAGTCTGATTGTAGACAATTTTACGACTGGAGAGAAAATTTCATTGTAGTCAATACCTTCTTTTTGCTGAAAGCCTTTGACAACCAATCTTGCTTTGTAGCGTTTGCTCCCATCGTGCTCTTCTTTGATCCTGTAAATCCACTTGTTGTGGAGCGCTTTCTTGCCTGGTGGTAATTCAGCTAATTCCCATGTCTGATTTGACATAAGCGAGTCCATCTCATCTTTCATGGAAAACTCCCACTTGACTGAATCCTCCACTTGCATTGCTTCATCATAGCACTCTGGTTCACCATTGTCAGTCAGCAACAAGTAGTGTAAAGAAGGAGAATACCGTTGGGTTGGTTTAGGAATTCTGGAGGAGCGTCTCAGTTCTGGTGTGCCTGGTTCTTCTTGAACTGCTTCAGGATTGATCTGAACATCATTTCCAGAAATCTCCTCGAACTCAGCAAATTCCTTTGTTTCAGCTTCGGTATTACTTGATTCTGCGGTTGACCTATCTTTGTACATCACATTTTCATTGAAAATGACGTCTCTGCTTCTGATGATCTTTCGATTTTCGTAGTCCCAAACCGGTAACCGAACTCATCACCACCGTAACCAACAAAGACGCATTTGTTGGACTTGGCATCAAGTTTACTTCTTTCAGCAGAGTTTATGTGTACATAAGAAATACAACCAAACACTCTTAAGTATGAAAGGTTTATTTCTTTCTTGCTCCAAGCTTCCTCTGGTATTCCGCCATCCAAAGGAACTGAGGGCCCACGGTTGATCAAGTAAGCTGCAGTGTTGATAGCTTCAGCCCATAGAAATTTGGGCAATCCGACATGTATCCTCATGCTTTTGGCACGTTCATTCAGAGTTCTGTTCATGCGCTCTGCTACGCCATTCTGCTGCGGTGTTATGGGAACTGTTGTCTCCATCTTGATCCCATTGTTTGCGCAGAAATCTCTAAATCTACTGTCTCTGTATTCTCCTCCATTGTCAGACCTCAACCGCTTGACTTTCAAACCAATCTCATTTTCCACCATGGCCTTCCATTTTCTGAAGATATCGAAGACTTCTGATTTCTTCTTCAGAAAATAAACCCACACATTCCTTGTTGAATCATCGATGAAGGTGACATAATATAGTGAGCCTGCAAGAGATGGAACTGGGGATGGTCCCCATACATCAGTATGAACCAATTCTAACCATTCTGCCTTGGGTGTCTTGCCAATCTTTGCAAAACTGACTTTCTTTTGTTTGCCAAAGATGCAATCCTCGCATAGTCCGACATCTACATTTTTTAGATCCGGCAGCTTCCCTTTTGACAAAAGTGTCTTCATCCCTTTCTCGCTCATATGGCCAAGCCTTTGGTGCCATAGGTTTGATTTTCCATCAGCATCTGCTACTGCAATGATATTCTCTAAATTTGAGGTTACATAGAGAGTACCAGTCTTCTTACCACGAGCAATGACGAGTGCTCCTTTGGTAATCTTCCATTCACAGCCTGAAAAGGTTGTGCTATATCCTTCTCCATCAAGCTGTCCAACAGAAATCAGATTTCTTTTGAGGCCAGGAATATGTCTCACTCCTGTCAGCTTCCAGGTGGTCTGGTTTGGCAACTTTAGTCGGATGTCTCCTTTTCCGACGATCTTTAAGGTTTCATCATCAGCAAGATGAACCTTCCCAAAATCACCACTGACATAGTTCTCCATGATTTCTTGGTATGGGGTGGAGTGGAAAGATGCCCCTGAATCCAAGATCCATGATTCAATCGGACTGTTGACGCTTAGAATCATGGCATCACCTGTCTCCTCTGTCACGTTGGCAGATTCCTGTGCACCGGTATCTTTCTTCAGTGCTCGACAATCTCTTTTGAAGTGACCCTTCTTGCCGCAATTATAACAGATAAAATCTTTATTTCCTGTTCTTGATTTTCCCCTTCTGGATTTTGATCTGCCACGATTTGAATTTCTTTCTGAAGTTCTCCCTCTAGACTCGGTGTGCAAGGCTGAGGAGGTTGATGCTTCACCCGATTCTCTTCGTCGAATTTCTTCACTCAATACCAGATCCCGAACATCGTCGAATTTTAATTTGCTGTTTCCCGACGAACTGCTGACTGCTGTAACAGTAGCATTCCAACTGTCTGGTAGAGATGATAAGAGAATTAAAGCTCGAACTTCATCATCGAACTCAATTTCCACTGAACTCAACTGGGTTGTGATTGTGTTGAGTTCATTTAGGTGTTGTGCCATCGATGCCCCTTCCGCCATCCGCAAATTGAATAATCGCCTCATCAATGAACTTTGTTTGAGGCCGATGGCTTCTCATACATACTGGAGAGAGCCGCCATAAGACCCGCCGTGGTCTTTTCCTTTGCTATGTTGAAAGCAACATTGCGGGATAACGTCAGTCGGATAACTCCGAGGGCTTGTCGGTCGAGAAGAGCCCAGTCTTCATTCTTCATGCCCTCTGGTTGCTTTCCTGAGAGAGATTGATAAAGATTTTTCTGGTACAGAAAATCTTCAATCTGCATCTTCCAAAAGCCAAAGTCCGCACCATCGAACTTTCAATTTTCACCTTCCCTTCGTCTGCAGCCATCGCTTCCACTCGAATCTGGCTTCTTTTGGATCGTTTCTGACAATTCTTGCGAACCACCGTGTATTAGAACACCACTGTCGACAAACTCGTATCGTCGACCGAAATTTCACTATTCACGAAATTCACTATTCACGTGAATAGTAATGAATAGTAACCTCGCAGAAAAATTGGCAAAATTCACAACCAAAAGCTCTGATTACCAGTTGTTAGGAAAATAAACCGAGTACAAGTAATTTCCCTATAACCAGATTAGTGAGAATGCAAAATAAAGCGGAAAAATAATACCCGAAATTGATAACGGAGTTCAGCCAATTATGCTTACGTCTCCGGGCTGCTGCAGATCTTTTACTAAGAGAGAAAATTTACAGGTGTTTACAAAACACTCACTACTCACAAGAAAGCTCTCTAGTATAGGAAGAAAGAAATGTTTTGGGATGATTTTGAAGCTAAATGGGTAAGGGTATTTATAGTAGAAACTTAGGGACTAATCTTTGAAAATACCCTAAAGTGCAATGACTAAAGTGAATTTACCCATTCCTATTTTCAACAAACATCTACCAAAATTTTACCAAACTTTGAAAAACATTTTTCAAAGAAACAT